AAAGATAGGAATCTCTTCCGGAAAAAAAGGAAGAAAGATGTGGAAAACTAAGGAAAATGGTAGCTAGGAGAAGGGATCGAACTGCAAGAAGAAATTTTGAGGAAGGGGTTCCGCTATTTCTCCCATTCCGATGCTGCACTTGGGCAAGGTGCCAGCTTCTTCACCCTCAAATGCATCTTTACTGAACCCTTAAGATCAGGAAAAATTTCTCATCGTTCCTACTTAATTTCTGCTTCTTCATATTCTTATTACTTTTAGGTAATGACGTACGACGTGCAGACATCGCTGGCTACCATTCCATCGTCTGCCTTCACCTGCCGTGCCGAAGACGTTATCATATACAATCAAACTCTTTACTGTATCGAAGGCGACAAAATCAACGTCCGAACGTTACAGGGTTCTTAGTCTTAGCACTGATGTGCTACCGAGTTGCTCACAGAAGCGAGCCAAAAGCCAAAGGCCGATGAAAGTCACGAGATCCGAGTTGCGGCAAAAACTGCGTTCTGTGTCGCCTCAAACATTTGGCAATGTAGCAACGAAGATGTCACATTTTCGCGTGCATGTGACCTAAGGTTTTCCAATTGTTCACTCCAAGCAGCACCCGTGGACCAACATCCCGCTATCAGCTCATTCCTTCTCAAAACATCCACTAAAGCTGCAGTCTATGTTGATTGTGAGGGTGGGAAAAGCCAACCACTGGGCTTTCCACATTGGTGCGCGACTATCTCTAAGTCATCAAGGGGGAAAGCACACCAGTGAGAGAGCACAATGGCTCTCTGACTGTGTTTACATGGCCAGCACGGACTGCGTCTTCAGTTTGGAGGAGAAGCGCTCAACAAACTTTTAATAAGTAGTGGCTGCGGCTCAATACTGTGGGCTGATTCTGAATGTGTGCGTCTCTCCTCTGTGGAGGCCCTGATAATCCGAGATGAGAATTTCCGAACGGAAACTTGTTCTATCGAATAGCCCCGCTCACCATTTCATTCATCTGAGGCAGAATCGGCCAAAACTTTCTTTTCTTGAGTAGTCTAACGCGCTTAGCACCAATATAACATCCGTTCTTACGAACGTGCCTGAAATCCGCGCCACAGGCGACAGCGTCACATACCCTACCAATTCCTGAGTTGGAGTGGGCGTGGCACTTCAACATGGCATAATAGAATGGGTTATTCGTGGGATATTTCACTTTGAGACAACTGTCACCTTGTTCTGTGGGCAGAACCATAAGTGTGTCAAAATGAACATATCTCATTAAAAGCACCGCCTTCGCCACGTTTAGTGAAGGACATAGCCACGCTTATCACATCTTGGGGATTTCTAGTGAATAGTGTTGGCGCACCCGGAAGCGGAATTTCTGGCGTTTTCACGCCACGCTAGCATGATACTCGTATTTAATGGGGACACTATTCAACTATTACTACCCCAATTTTCCGAAAACAGGCCGGATCTTGATCGACTTTTTTCTACGGGGTGGATTTGGCTGAAAGTTGGGTTCTAGGGGTAATTCGACCTCCTGAACACGAATATCACATCCACTTGGCCTAGAACTGCCTGGCGCACCACAGGCGTCGGCACCAAAAATCTAAATCATATAATTCGCTGAAAACTTGTCCCAGGGGTAGTTTGACCTCCTGAACACAAATATCACATCCGCTCGGCTTGAAACCGCCTAGCGCCCGCGCACAGGCGCCGGCCATACCCTATGTCACCAAATCTGCTGAAAACTTGTATACGGAGGTTATCTGACATCTTGATTACAAATATCACATTCATTTTTGGCGCTGGCGCTGATGGAAGACACTACGATTATTACGATCATCTGCGCTCTGCTAAGGCTGAGCCTGGCCTAAAGGGAATCACTCCTTCCTCCCAGGCTCAGCCTTAGAAGAGCGCTAAATGGCGCTGGCGTCGAAAAATAAATGTCATATTCGTGATCAGGGCATCAAACAACCCCATTATGCAGGTTTTTATCGATTTTGATGAAAAAGGGTGTGGCGCCAAATCAGCGCCTAATGGCGCCAAATGGCGCCAGGGCTGAAATTCAATCAAGACAAGTCATGATCAAGACATCAAGTAACCCTACTATGCAAACTTACACCGAATTCGGTGAGAAAGGTGGCACCAAAGCAGGGCACAGGCATTCCATGGGTATTATTGGTCAACTTTACTACCCCCTTGTTGTTCAGGGCTTAGTACGACCTCGCCCCCCGCATGCTCGACCCTTTTCTGAATGACACTGGATTGGCGACTGTGATGTGGTTTTTATCGGTGCCGAAAAAGTGTTCTGCCCGGGGCGGGGGGGGGTAGTAAGCATGCGACGTACAGGTACGGTACATAGACCTATTAACACAGTAAAAAATCATTAAAACTCCAGAGAAGTGATAACTCCTAGACAGAAATACGACCCCCCTCCCAACAACGACCAAATACGACCCCCCCTCCAAAACGTCCGCAAAGCGAGAAAAATCAACTATAAAAATAAATTTTTCCCAGCCCAAATACGACCCCCCCCTTTTGGCGGCCTCATACGACCCCCCCCCCATAGGGAATCCCCATCGACGCTGTGCCTGCCAACTGGCGCCAATTTGGCGCCAGCGCCTGAAAACGAGTGCTATATTCGTGATCAGGACACCGAATTACCCCTGTGGGCGAAAGTTCAGCAAAGAAGTTTCTTGACTTTTGGGGTAGTAATAGTTGAATAGTGCCTTAATGGGTCGAAATACCTCCGAATACCAGTTTTCAACAAATTTGTGTTCTGAGGTGTGTTGACGCTTGGGGCGCGGTCGCTAGGCGGTTTCGAATCGAGCAAAAGCGATATTCGTGTTCAAGGGATCAGTCAACCCACGGAGACAAAATTCTAGCGAGAACCACCAATAGAGAAAAATTTCGGTCAAAAACTGGCCGGCTGGCTGGTATTGTGAAGAGTGTGGCAGTACTGTTTAAAGAGTGCTAAATTCGCTATTTTTTTACAGAGATTATCATTGTTTCGGGTATGTGAATGTCTTTAGGGGACCGTACGCCAGATTCTTTCACTACCCGAAATGGAGGGCGATCCCGTTCAGTTCCACTCGAGCCGTCACTGGCTGGCTGTAGCGACTTCAACCGGGTTTCTGAGAATTTACAACATTGGTGGCAAGTGAGAAGTTCTGCTTTCTCCTGGAATCCCGGGTTTACAATGATATAGTTTCTAGTAATTTGTGTGTCATTTTTCCATTTCCAGAGAAGCACGACAGGAGCATCACTCGAAGTATGTGGTAGAAGCGTTGGACGAGTTCCATCGATTCCTTTCTATGAAAGTTAACGTGGCTGGAAATAGGATTGCTTGCACTTATTACGCCGTGAGTGAGCTACATATAATACCATGTTTACAAAGAAACATACACTTCTTTGGAGAAATCCCAGTCGTGTTTGGTTTAAAAATACGTTTTGTTCAATTCAGTGCTCATTTCTTCTTGAGGTTTTGAATTTTCAGACGCCTACGAAGGTCGGTGACAGAATCCTTGTGTGGGACGCTGAAGGTGATCTAATCGTGCACTTTTCGTTCACTTTGGGAATGACCGATCAGCAACAGTACGAAGCGGAAGCAGAATTAGCCAGTTCACAAGGTCGTCCGGTCACTGCTGCAGCGAGGTATTTAAACCTTATGTGATGAAAGAAAGTGGAATGGAATGCTGTACAGAGACTGTACTAAAAGAAACTAGCGCATTAGCAAAATAATCCCCATACCAAAATAATCCCATCCTTCAGCCGGATAGCGAAAATTATTCAGAACTAAGTGTCATGTGCTTCTCAGAAGGTCGAGCTATCAGTGGAGCGTCAGGGACTGGCATGACAGATTCCAGATAGAAGGGGGGGCTAAAGCCGTTGAAGTGTACTTAAGCGGATGAGGCTAACTCGTCGGATGGATGAAAAAGCGCACGTCTATTTAATTGCCCAGTCGTCCGCAATTCGTGCCAAATTTCTATCCAGAAATTCCCTCAAGATAGATTTCTTAGCATTGTCTTCGAAAGTAGTCCCTTAATCGGACCTGTTCATGAGAGTCCAATATTCCTAAACAAATTAACGTTAATCATCAGTTACCTGAAAAGGAACACCTAAGAAACACACAATCATTCCAGGAAAATAGGACGCGAGCAATCACGATTCCGTTTGCCGATGCATGAACCAGGACCGATATTTTGGGATGACACCGATGATCGTTTCTTGGTTTGTCACGCTCAAGCGTCGTCACAGCATGTCGTGAGTACTTTATCCATCTGAGACAGCTCTTTCTTAAAGACAATTCCCGCTATCAAGTGTTACGGGTAGTTGGTGCTCAGTTATGAACCAGCATCCCATAAGTAGCTCCTCAGTAGAAAAAGAAGGGAAAAAACTCTCGGGAACACCCTAAACACAGACCTCCCCTCAGCAGTCTTGGACGAGTGTGTCGGGCGTGAAGGACGCGCGCTCCATAGCGATTGGAGCGCAAAGCTTGAGCCGTGGGACCGTGGCGTGAGCGCCAGGCAATTCCTGGCCAAGCGATGCGATATTCGTGTTTGGAGGTTGAAGGTCTGCATACAAAATTTTTAGCCTTTTTTAAAAAGCTCGGTAGTAAAACTGGTCTGATGTCGGAAGATTGGGGTAGTAACAATTGAATAGTGCCCCCATCTAAAAGATCATTAGGTGAGTCTGAGAAACACACTAACTGCTCTTCATTTCTTATCCTCCTCTTGCGACGAGTATGGAAGACGAACTACCTGCTCTTCAGTTCACGTCCTTCCCATCGCTTGCAGAGTATGAAACTCAAGAAAGGCTTTCTGCTCTTTTTCACATCCTCCTAATTGGAATCGCGAACGAACGATTTGTGAGAGAGTATAACAGTTCAAAAGGCACGGAGTCATTTTGAGGATCACTTGGTCGCGGCCAG